GCTCCCGGCTCCTTGACCCTCCGTGGAAGGCCGGAGGCGTTTTCAGTCCGTTTCTTCTGCAGACTTCTGTCGCCTTGGCCAGACTCAGCCATGAGCGTCTGGGGCTGAAGTTAGACTGGGGCGCTCCTTCGTTTCCGGTTTCACAAGGGTCTGCACGTCCCGCACCAGGCTGTCAGCCGGCGAAAGCAGCGGCAGGGCCGCGGTTCCGGGGAGAGGTGTGAACCACGGGGCACATGTCTCTTCAAGCCCACCCACCGGCTCACCGAGGCCAGGCCGCCAGTGAGGAGGGAGCGTCCTCCCGAGTCCCTGGGCACACGGCTGGGGCAGGGCTCAGGGCTTCTCCCCCACCCTCTGCCCTCCTGCTCCGTCCTCCCTCCTGCCTCCTCCCTCCTCCTCCTCCTGCTCCCTCCTCCTTCCTGCTTCGTCCCTCCTCCTCCTCCTGCTTGTTCTGCCTCCTGCCTCCTCCTCCCTCCTCCCTCCTGCTTCCTCCCTCCTCCTCCCCCTCTCTCCTCCCTCCTTCTCCCTCCTCCTCCCCCCTCCTCACTCCCTCCTTTCTTCTCCTTCTCTGCTCCCTTCTCTGTTGTTACTGATGTCTGAGATGTGCCAGATGCACACTTCCCTCCACCGTCACTTTCTCCGGATGGGTTACTCCTTTCTCCTTGTTGCTGGGATGAGGCTCGTAAGTGGCTAAGGCTGGGTTAGCTCACACCTTGGGAGCCTCGCCCGGGAGCGCCAGGTGGGGGGGCCGGCAGGTGCAGGGTGCCCCCACCAAGCCCGTTCTGTGGTGTGAGGCTCTCCCAGGCCACAGTGCCTCCTCCTGAGGGTCTGGGTGCGAAAACAGGGAAGTCTGCTTCCCGCGGCCGTAGCCTGATTCCTTCAGATTTTGCTGGACTGTTTCCCACAGTCCTGCCTGTACTGTGTCTGTGTGGGGCCCCAGCTGGCCTCGTGGCCGCATCCACTCAGTTCAGCCCCTGGTGGTCTCGCCCCTGCGCGGAGGGAGGGAAGGCAGGGGCCTTTCGAGGGGTCCCGGCCCGGGCACCGCCGTCCGCGCCCCGCACGTTCGACGGTCAGCAGACATCTGGCCTGGCTGGTTTTCGTTGCCGACCGAAGTCAGGATGAAAACTTGCCCCCACCTCTTTGTGGACCCCTAGACAACGGCCCTGCTCACGCCTCCAGACGGCGAGCATCTGGCCTCTGTGAGATACCGGCCGGTGTCAGGAGCCCCTGCCCCCTTGGTGCAGATGTGGGATGGGCTTTGCTGGGGCCAGTGGCCAGTGGCCAGGTCAGGAGGCCACGGTGATGAATTTGTGTGGCGGCCCTCCTGCTCCCTGAGGTGCCTCCAGGACCTTGTGGTCCTGGTCCCGTGGCTCTGCCTGCCCAGCACAGGGGAGCGGGCCTCCTCGGGAGGCTCCGAGCAGGTCGGGCAGGCCGTCTGCTGAGAACCTGCCGTGTGCTGGTGGCCTTCGGTGGGTCCCAGCCCTCGCTGGCAGGTGGGCTCGGTCGCCAGAAGGGAGGGCGTGGCCCACCAACAAAGAGGTGGCTTGTGTCAAAACACGGAGACGGGACTGTGCCCACCGACTGCCAGGACACAGGACACGCAGGCCGTTGGAAGAGGCCTTTCCAGGCGTGAGGACCCAAGTCCCTGGGAGCTCGGCTGTGGTTCCTACAGCCACGGTGGCTTCGGCGGCTCCCGCACAAGCTCTGGGGGTGGGGCGTCCTGGCCCTGACGAGGGGCCTGCTGACCCCAGGCTCACCCCCACCGCATCCCAGAGCGGCCCGTGCCGTGACCCCGAGCGGCATCTGAACATGCACGGCGGGGTCCGTGTGCGGGCCTGGGCCAGGGGTGGGGATCCTTGTGAGCCTGAGGGAGACCGAGACCCCTGCCCGCTCCCAGGGGGGGGGCTCCTCCTGAATCTGCGGGGCAGAGCGAGACCAAACTCGTGTTCCCGTCCACGCGGGCCTTGCCGACAGAGGCAGGACCGGGGATTTATGTCCAGCGGACACACTCTGGGGAAACCGCACGGCGGAAGTGAGTGCTGGCCGTCCTGCCCCTCCGCCCCCTCCCGGCCACAGTCCCTGGATGAGGGACTGCCACCTGAGGGGAACCTGCTCAGAAGCCACATTTACGGCCGGGCGGGAGCGTCACGGCCGTCGTCCGTGCAGCTGGAAGCCTCGGCCCTTCTGACGCCTCTCGGGGTGGACACAGCCCAGCATCCCGGCTTTTACTTCAGTTCACACACTGAGCCGTCCAAACAGGGAAACTTCGCAGACTCTGGTTCAGGCTCTGTTCCTGATGGAGTTTTTTAAATTTACGTTTATACGTTTTTGTTCTGTGTGCTTCTTACCAACACAGACTGAAACGTACCGCGCGGAGCTTTGGAACGTCCTTCCTGACAGGCGTATCCCATCCCAAGCTGCCCCCAGATCAGGCTTTGCTCAGTAAGGCCCAGAAGGAGACTCAAACTGGGGACTTTGCTGAGCCGCCCGGTCCAGGACCCGCCGGCATTCCCGGGAATCCCCGAGCCCCTCGGCTCTGGAGCTCTGCCCTGCAGGTGTCAGGTGCCTGTGTAGCTGGTGCTTGAAGTGGGGACTGAGCTCCGCCCGCGCCCCGTCCCTGCTGCCATGGACCGCAGGGTCCTTCTGTCTGCAGCAGAGGGTAGAGAGTGGGCTCTGCGAGACGGTGTCGGATGGCCCGGCCGGAAGGGTCCACACGTGCTGCCTTTGGTAGAGTTTTGGACCACGGGGGAGGACTGGGCCAGTCAGGTAGGCTGTGAATGACAGGATTCACAGGAAACACTGGCAGTGGCCCTCTGGGCTGACACTGGGGTCCGGGTCCTGGGGACACCCCGTCCCGGCAGCCTACCTCAAAAGTTATCACACTGCGAAGAAACACGGGAGTTTCCTTAGCCACACGACAGGTGGGCGTCCTTGGCGACAGCGGCCCCGCGAGATTCCAAGACAAAAATCAGGTGCTCGAGTGCCGAGAGGACAGACTGCAGGAACGTCCTGTCTGGCGCCCCTTCGTGTGGCTGCTGATAATGAAATAAATCTTGGATGGCTCTGTAGAAATAGCATTTGGGGCATTTCTTTTTCTCCTTTCAAAAGAAAAATCCCTTCCATGAGGAGGCGAGCGGAAAGGCCCCGGCACGTTTCTGCATGATTGGCCATGACTGCGGATTGAAAGCTGAGGCGAGGCCGCGGCCAGGCCTGATCACTTCTTTAAAACCCCTTGAATGTGGTGGCTCCACGGGAGGGTGCAGAGAAAGGGCCAGAGAGCAGGAGGCACAGGGCGGCCCTCTCAGAGAGCCCGGGCTGATCAGATGTTGATCCTTTGGGAGCCCGCCCGAAACGGCCAGATAAAGCAATTTCTTTAAAAAGTTTCTAGCAGGTGCCTTTGGGAGAAGAAGGGAGAATCCCCTGAATCGCGTCCTGGGGTGGCCACAATGGCCGTCTGCCCGCCCCGGGGGGCCCTCCCCCATTCACGGAAGTGCTTAAGCCACTTAAGCGCATTAGCATCTGGATGCAGCTGGACCTCCGAGGACTGGGGCGGCCGGGTGGCCGTGCTCTGCTCCAGATTCTTCTGTGCTTGTTCTAATCCTCACCGCTTGAAGGCGGCCAGACTGATTTGTGACACATGAGTCCAAAAGCCACTTTGGGGGCTTGACCTGCCTAACTGATCTGTGCTCTGAATGTCAATGGCCTGTCCTGGAGTACGCTCTGGGGACGGTGGCGGTGGCCGCTGCCTCCCCTGCCGCATGCTGGGCGGTGTGTGTGTGTGTGTGTGTCCCCAGCAAACCTGGGAGGGGTCTGCAGAGGGGCTGGGGGGCTCGTCCCGGGGGTCCCTGCCCCCTCCACCAAAACCGGCCCCTCGGTGGGCCTCTCCGGGCTGGCGCCACTCTCCCCTGGGGGACGTGTGTCCAGCTTCGCAAAGGCCTTCAGTGGAGGATGTGTTCAAAAAGTCAGAATTCGTTGTTTTCCTGCAGTGTTCTTTCTTAAATAAAAGTCATCGAGTCATGTTTTAGAGAGCGGCTCCGTTGAGGTGTGGTTTACAGACAGGCCTCGGTCCGGGGTGGACTCTCCTTGGCCTCCCCCAGGCAGCTTCGGCTCTGCCTTCTGCCTCCAGCTGCCCTTCCTGGACACGTTGTGCACATGGACCCTGGTGACGGGACCTTCCCACGAGGAGAGAGCGTCATCCGCCGCACGGGGTGGGGGCCAGCTCCCCAGTCCTCTGTCCTCTCCCGTGAAGGTCTATCCTTTCAGCACATCCCGAACCTCTTTTGTTGAACATATTCCTAAGTACCCGTGACCCAGCCTGCGACTTCTCACTGCCCAGAGCAGGCTTGCCCTGCTGGGTGGGGGTCTCCAGTGTCCTGCACCCATCCACACCTTTCCTGCCTCATACCCAGCTTGACACTAGAGGAGTTTTCTCGGCAAGCCTGGATTTAACTTAGTCCATGAGCTGGGGTGTGCTGTGGGGAGTGTCCCAGCCTTGCGGCCCTGGGGGTGACCCAAAAACCCAGCGTGGCCTCTGTGCTCCCTGGCGTTGCCTTCTGGGTCCTGTCCCACTGCCCACCTGAGGCAGATCTCATCGCAGGGTGTCCCCAGCCTGCTGTGGGGACACCGTGAAGGGCAGAGACCTCCCCGCCCCTCCGCTGCTCATGCTGATTTCAGTGGAGCCTCCGGCAGATCTAGGGTCCAGGCCCCGCCGGCTCGGGGGCAGCACGGGGAACAGAGATGGGCAGGGAGGCCGGGGCCGCCAGAGGTGCACGGCACTTCCCGACAGGCCTGCCCTTGGAGAGTGTGCCTGGTCAGCTGGTCGTGCTCCCGCTCCCGTGTGGCGGGCCCGTGGTCCCTTTCCGGGGACGTGCGGAGCCAGGCGGAAGCAGCCTGGAAAGGACAGGGCAGGGGGGAGAGGCCAGGAGGTGTGCTGATTGCTTTCAGGGGACAAGGGCTGCGGGCCCCTCTCTGCGGGGACTGAGTCCCTTCTGTGTCTTTCCCAGACTCTCTGCACACAGGCCACGATGCAGACAGTCCGGGCCGCCGACACCAACGAGGTGGTGAAGCTGATATTCCGCGAGTCGGACAACGACCGGAAGGTAAGAGAGTCCTCAACCGTGGCCCCTGGAGCTGGGCTCTCTGGACTGTGCGGGAGGCGCTGTCTCTGCTCCGCCCACACTGGCGTGCACTTCTCCTTTCCAGGTGATGCTTCAGCTGGAAAAGAAAGTCTTCCACTACTTCAACCAGGAGGTTTTCCGCGACAACAACGGCACCGCGGTGAGCCCCGCTGTCCCCTGTCCCCGGGCTGCGGCTGCTGGCCCAGCGCCTGGTTGTTGGGCGGCCCGGGCGGCCCCTGTGTGGGCGGCGCCCCAGGTGCTCAGCCGGCTGACGCACCTGACCGGGCGTCTCCGTGGCTGTGCGCGTGCACGTGTGCAAAACCAAGGGCGTGTGCGTGAAACGTGCATCTCAAACCAGTCGGTGGAGCCCTGGTCCCTGGTCCCGAGGGAACCGCCCTCTTCCCCAAAGCCACCGCGTGCCCTGCAGAGTCCGGAGAGGCCGTGCAGGGCGACCAGACTCGCGTGACGGGATCAGCGCCTGTTTGTCACGTGCTTATCGGTGTCTGTTTCGTGTAGACCAACAGGTGACGTGTGGTGTTTGCCAGTCTCCAAGGCCTAAGCGTCCCCCGTGTGGCCGGTTCCAGGCCCCCGGGGTTCCGTGGCGCAGGGGCGGGCCCTGAGTGGGGCACCTGCCCGCCCTCTGTCCTTCGTGCTCTCCCCTTCGTGTTCTCCCTCCCCCCACCCCGCTCCGTAGAGGCTCTGTGCACAGCTGCCCCCCCACCCCCGACCCCTGTTCAGCTCCCAGTCTGCCCGCACCCTGGCGGTCTGGCCCCCGTGCCTCCGAGACCCCTGGGACCATGTCAGGGACGTCTTTCTGCCAAAGCCTGGGGGTGGTGCTTGGACCGTGGGCCCCGCCCCGCCATCCCTGTTCTCACCTCTCTGCCTCTGGGAGCGTGGGCTGCACCTGTGCCTCAGTTTCCCCTCAGCGCAAGTGGAGCTCTGCCCGTGTCAGTGCCGGGCGACAGGCACTGCCCCCGTCCCTGTCCCCTCGTCTGTCCCCACCAGCCCGGGGCCACTGCCTCTCGCTCGCCGCAGGAGCCCACCCAGCGTGCCCCCAGCCCAGAGCCCAGCCAGGGGCTTGTCTCCTGCACAGAGAGTCAGGCCTCAGCTCCAGGCCCACAGCCACAGGCCTCCGGTGAGCCTCTGTGTGCTCCCCCAGCCCCACGCCCCATGCAGGGGACCCAGCAGATGCTCTGCTCCTCCCACCAGCCTGTCCCAGCGGGGGCTCTGCCCTTCGGGCCTGGCCAGACCACACGTCACGTCCTCGAGGGGCCTCAGGCCCAGGCAAGGTGACTCTCCCTCCGCAGCCTCTGCAGCGCCCAGCTCAGCACGCGGACGCTTACAGCCCAGGCTGCTTCCCTGGGTGGGAAGCACCAGGGTAAGGACCGTGTCCTGCCTGCCGTCTGCACCTAAGAGGACAGCACCCCTGTGATGTCCGGGCCCGGGGACCTGGGGGCACAGGGGAGCCCGAGGCACTGTTGTGGTGAAGTGCCCGGGAGACCGGGCATGCCACGCTGTTTCTGGGCAGCTGTGTGACTTCTTGAGCTCAGAGTCAGGGTGGGCTTTCAGGGGCCCCTGCTGCAGAGGCAACACCTAGGAGCGGGGGGCAGTGAGGCCACCAGGGAAGTATCAAAGCCGAGGGTCCAGCAGTGGACACATGGACGCGGGGCTGGCACGGGGGCAGCCAGGGACCGGACCGTTCGGGAAGGAGCAGGAGATGGGCGAGAAGGACGTCCCGTGGGGTCTGAGCCAGGGCGGCGCGGGGGGCCTGGGAGACGGCGTGTGTTCTGGAAATGGGGGGCCAGTGCACACGGACCCACATCATGGACAGAGCTGACATCTGGACAGAGCTCACGGTACTGCCGTTAGAAATGACAAGTGTTGTCACTGTCGGACATAATAATTTTTATTTCCGTATTTATCCGCATATGAAACTTTTTAAGAGGGAGGAAGATTAGTTCGAATGTTCAGGGGAACGTTTGAATTTCAAAGATTTAAAAATGCAGCACAGAGTTAGAATAGGTTTCCACATGGTGTTTTGCGGAAGACCCCACGTGCCCCTTTGTCGTGTCTGTCAGGAATCTCACGTGTCGGGAGGCGCGCCCGGGCCCGGGGCCTCCACGGGGCATCTGCCTGGCTCCTCCAGGCTTGGGTGGCCGGCCACGCCGCCCCCCTGCTGCGGGCCCCGGGGGGGCTCCGTGCCTTCGGAGACACCTGGCGGGGTCACGCTGATGCCCGTGCCCCTGGCCGCGACCCGGCACGTTGAAAAGCCGCCTCCGCGTCACTCACGCACAGGAAGTAGGGTCGTCGGGACCGGCCGCGGGGGACAAGATAAATGGTGTGACGAGCCATGCCACCGCCGCGGCGAGGCACGCAGCCCCACGGCCACGGGACAAACTACCCGTCCTCAGGATGGATGTGCCTGCGCCGGACGCGGCCCCAAAATCCATCGCGCCCTTCATCAAGCACCGGTCTTGTACCCGTCTGACAGAAATTTAATTCAAGCTGGCTTCTGGAAATAATTATTGTATTTTAAGAGTAGTAATCATTGGCCGGGACATGATTGAATGTGTCCATGCCTATTGACTTTTTCTATGATTTATAGCTTTGTTTAGTCGATATTCCCATCGAAATTGTATAATTAATTATAAGTGTGGCTGTCAGGGCTGCAGGATGGAGTGCCCTGGTGAGGATTTGGAGAGATTAAATTTTCCTCGGCTGTCCCAGGGCAGGGCTTGGGAATTTTCACAGCGCTTGGCCTGTTGGATAGAGATGTTTTCTGTGTGTTTAGCAACTGCTCAGCTCAAGGCGCATTGATTTTCCGGGCTCTTTTTTCTCTATCAGCGCGGTGTCTCTGCAGTAACAGTGGGATTTGTGCAGCCCTGACAGATACGGACGATCCGCCAGGCCCTTTATCATTGTCCACACACGCCCTGAGCTGTTTTTCACTTTGTAATCAAGAAGAATGTTTAAGATACATGTGAAATTGGTTATCGTGTTAGTGAAAAATCTCAAAGAGATACAAATTATCGTTTCAACAGAAATGCCACGTAATTTCTAATCAGGAACCTCTCACAGCTGGAGTTTGCCCCGTGGCCGTCGCGGAGCCCCAGACGCGGTCCCCCAGACGCGGTCCCCCCTCGCTGGCCCCACGCTGGCCCCACGAGGGAGCATCCCAGAAACCTGGCAGCCGGCCGGGGACCCGAAGCAGCAGATCGGGGTTTGTGACCGTGCAGGGCAGGACGTGGGCCACACGGGGCTACAGCTGTGTGCACGGGTATGGGACTAACCTGTGCCCCGCCCCCGCCAGTGTCAGACAGCCCAGGGGCGCCCCGGCCTGGCGGGTGTTGGCCTTGCCCTTCGCTAGAGTGTCTGTCTGGCAGAGACCCCGACGCGCAGCAGAGGCTTCGTAAGTACGTGTTGACCTGGCGTGAGAGCATGCTCGCGCTCCGGAACGTCTCCACGTGGACAGGCAGGCAGGTTAGCAGGCAGATGGGTGCGTTACGGGCGGTGCTCCCCAAGGAGTCCCTTTCAGCACAGGGGCCAGCGTGCGGGCGCCTCGCCCACGGAGACCCTGGAGGTGAGGGCTCCTCCCAGACGGGCTCTGTCACTTCGTTGGCAGCTGGAAGATTCACGCTCTTTCCAAACCAGATGCTTCCCAGTTTCGATTTTACTTCACACCCTTAGCCAGAGAAGCGTGGCTGTCCAAGTGGCTCCCTCCCCAGATGCTGCCACCCGCCTGTCAGCACGCAGAGCCATGACCACACCTCATGCCAGGGTTTTCCAGGGTCTCATCGCCTGCTGCAAGTTGTGCTTATTGGAGCGTGTGCACGTGCGTGTGCGTGCCCGTGTGCGTGCAGGTTCCTGCAGACCCCTCACAGGGCATCTGCGGACGCTGCCCACGTGGACGCCCTCTGGGCAGGTCTGGCCACCGAGGGGGTGCAGGGCCCAGCAAGGCTTCCAGGGGCCCTTTCTGAGGCGGCACAACACGGAGGATGTTCAGTAGGCGACAGGCGAAGGCCGCTCGCTCACACGCACGTGCTCACGTGCACCCAGGCACCCACACGCGGTGTGCCGTCGCGCTCCCCTTCAGCCCCTCGGTGTCCCTGGGGCTGGCCATGGGGCCCCGGGAGCCCCCCGCCGTCGCAGCAGAGTGAGGGTGGTCAGCGTCCCCACGGCCACTCTGGTCCGCCGTCTCCTGACACAGCCAGACAAAACCAGAACAGAACGAGCACCTGCGTGCGTGCGCGTGAACGAAACCCTTGCTGGCAAGGGACGGCGGCTCTGCGCAGCCAGGGGTCTCGTGGCCGGCGAGCAGCCGTCTCTCCGTTAGGGACGCGGTTTTGTGGGTGGCAACGGGGGGCATCTCGCGGTGAAGGGGAGAGAAGACCCCTCTCATGGAAGAAATCCGGGCACAGGTATAGTTTCTCGTTTCCCGAGGCAACTTTCGAAACCGTTTTTGGACTTTTGTGAAATAGATTCCTGGGGCTACTAACTGGGCGCCGTTTGGAGCCGGGCTGTGTTCTGGGTCCAGAACCGACAGATGCCCCCGTGGGGCTCGCGGGCTGTTGGGGACGGAGGCGGACCGGTGCGAGAGAGTCCAGACGTGGCGCCACACGGGGAGCACGGGAGACATCGCCGCTGTCACCTGGAGGGAGGGAGCACCGGACGTGACCGAGGCTCTGGAAGACGCTGCGGCCGCCGTGAGCACTGGGCCATCGGGCGCGGTCACTGCCTGCGTCCTAGCAGTGGGGTTGGGCCCGGGAGACACCGGGCCATCCCTGAGTGCCCTCCAAAGCGTGAGCAACGTCTTGCAGCTCACGACCGAACGTTCTGAGTATTTGCGTCTGAGCGCCTGGCCCCTCGCCTCCGATTCTTCGATGCGCACGGCTGTCTGATGGAGGGCGGGCGCCACGTTTACTGCCCCCCCAGGTGAAGGTCCACGGAAGGCGAGCTTGCGGTCCAGAGACACAAGCCGGGCGGGGGGGGCGGGTGCACCTCTGAGAACACCAGACGTTTAAATAACTGATAGAAATCACAAAATAAGAGTATTTAATAGGGTTGAAAACTTGAAGGAATCAGAAGCAAATAAACACACTCTGAAAGAAGCTGGCAGATTAAAAACCACACAGAACTCGTGGCAGTGTTACCACTGAAGTCCCCACCGGCAAATTCGTGGCGACACAGCCCGAGGGCGCAAGGAGGTACGGCACCTGCGACCGGGGCAGCACAGGTGGGGGTGGGGGCAGAACGCGGCGTGAGGCCGTGGGAGGCCACGTTTGGCGAGCGGAGGTTGGAACCGCGGGAGGTGAGTCCTCAGGAGAAGGATGTGTCCACGAGAAACAGCGGGACACCAGACGGGAAGAGATGATGCGGAGCTACTGAGGAGCACGGCGGGTCACCCTCGAGAGGGACGCTGGCGCCGGGCAGCGGCACCCTGACCCCAGAGGAGCAGCGAGGGCCCGTGGCCGGAGAAGCCCAGGGACTCGCGCCGGGCGGAGTCGGGAACCCGCGGCGGGAGGGAGGCGCGGGAACGCCAGTGTCCCCCGACGAGAGCTGTTCTTTGTGGACACGTGCGTGCACAGGGTTCGCGGGACACGGCCGTCCAGGGCGTGGCCACCGGGGGACAGGGAGGGTCTCGCGGCATCTCTGACTGCCATGCTGCGTTTCTCTAAGAGTCAGCTGGGTTGGGGGGACCAGCAGGTTGGCTGGCTCTGCGGCCGAAAAGAGTCACCGTGTGGAAAGGAACGTGCCGTCGACGTCTCCTGAACCGCCCGTCAGCCGTGGCCAAACTTCTCCAGACGCGCGGGTCCTTTCTGGAACCCCGGCTCGTGGCCTCGGGTAGGCTGGCTCCTCTCCCTTGCACACGGGACCTGCATGAAGCCAGCAGCCACCCTGAGCGCCCCCGTGCCCCTGCACGCGGGGCCTGCCTCTGACCCGGGAAGGCCAAGAATTCAAGCGCCAGGGTAATCTACAGGAGCCACACTATAGTCGTGTGAGTGTGCGTGTGTAAATATGAGTGTGTCTACCAGCACAGACATACGTGTAAACGTGTGTGTAAGCGCAGGCCTTGTCCAGGCCCCAGGGAGTGTCTCTCTCTCCCTGAAGACTTCCTCTATCCCCGGCTCCACTGAGGACCCGACTCAGGAACTTCCCGGAAACGGCTTGGCCTGGAGCCCACTCTGGAAGAAGAGCTAGAGTTTCCCCCTGATGTGGGGGCAGCAAGGCCATGTGGTGCCCTGGAAGCCAAGCCCCCGTGCCCTCCCACAAGCTTCCCCTCCCCACATGGTCCTCCGCCCGCCTCCCTGTGCCTCCCCTCCCCCCGGGGGCCCTCAGCCCCATGCCCGTTGGGGCCTCGCTGAGCAGGGTCGTGCTCGGCGGATGTGGGCTCGTGAGTGGCTCCCGGGGGATCCGGGCCCCCGACCCCCGGCATCCGAGCCTCCCCAGGCGGGGTCTGAGGCTGGTGTCTGTGAGCGTGCAGGCTTCAGCAGGAACGTGTGTGAGGTGCGGTCAAGCGTGTGTGCAAGGGGACTGGTTACCCTCCCACCCCACAGCCCCACGACAGCTCCGTCCGGGTGTCGCCCTCTGGCCCACGCGAGGAGAGCACCGGGCGCGGGTGCTCAGGCGGGGGCCGGGCTGCGTGGGGACGCGACTTACGCGCACGTCCGGAAGCTGTGGGCAGCGCAGCCTTGGCACAGCTAGCGTGGCTGGGCCACCGGTGGCACCCCTGCCTCCCCGGGGGAGGGCGGGCTTTGGTTCCGAGGAGTCTGCGGGGCAGGACTCTGTCCTCTGCAAGCAGGAACCGTGCTCCCTGCCCACGTGTGCTCTTGGGGTCCCCTGCAGCCGACTGGCCGCTCTTTTAACAACATTTTTTTAACGTTTATTTATTTTGAGAGACAGAGAGCAGGGGAGGCAGAGAGAGAGAGAGAGAGAGAGGGAGAGAGAATTTAAGCAGTATTCAGAACTGTCTCTGCACAGAACTCACACCAGTCAGGGGAACGGAGAACGCGGTCTGAGTCGGGAATCCAGTCGGACGCCACCGCTGAGCCACCCCGGCGCCCTGTGGCCATTTTTAATCACACTCCCTGCAAGTAGGTCCACGTGGCTTGCTCCGCGGACCCCAGCCTGGCAAAACAAATTAACTGTGGCCTGCCCCATGGGCCGTGTCTGTGGCTGTGCTGTCTGCTGCCCCTCGTGGTTTTGAGAAGGGCCTCCTGTTCCTGCGGGCTCCAGGGACACCAATGGGCGTCAGTCGGGCAGGGGCTCCTCACACAGGTCCAGTCGGTCCCACAGGCGTGAGCCTCCCACGGGTCTCGGGTGGCTCCCCTGCAGCGACTGACCCCCCACCACCCCCCACTCCCCTACCTCAAAAGGCACAGCAAAGTGACCTTATGTTTTTCTTTCTTTAGCTCTTAGAATTTGACAAAGAGCTACTGTTTTAAGGACAGACTGTATGAATCCGACATCTCTGCTCCTCCCAGGTAAGGAGCACCCATTGCTGGATTTCAGCAGGTAACCCTTCTCCTGCCCTTCCATCGGCCCTGAAGCCAGCAGCCAGCTGAGGACAAGAATATTTTGTTAGCCCCTGCTAGCTTCCCTTAACAAAAGATGTTTTAAGCACGCAAAATATTGCCTTCTCAGACTGGCACACTGGGGGTCTCCCAGCAGCTGCTCTGGGTTCTGGGTCTTCTGGGAGCACTGGCTTTCCACAATGCAGGTTGGGTGAGTTTTTTGGCTGTTTTTCTCTTCTTTCATGGAGAAGCTGGGTTTTACCCCGATGTTTATGGAATCAAGGTTCACAGCGACTCATTACCCCATCCCCTCGTGAGGGGCACGGCCCACACAGGCACCCAGGCTCTCAGAGGGCGTGGGGCAAAGAGAGGCCAGCAGAGGGTGGGCCAGGCATCCTGGGGGAGGGCACCCTCAAGACATGGGAGACCCTGGGTCCCAGACTCCCTCTCCTTCCTCTCTCTGCTTTTAAATTTTTTTTTTTTTCAACGTTTATTTACTTTTGGGACAGAGAGAGACAGAGCATGAACGGGGGAGGGGCAGAGAGAGAGGGAGACACAGAATCGGAAACAGGCTCCAGGCCCTGAGCCATCAGCCCAGAGCCCGACGCTGGCTCGAACTCCCGACCATGAGATCGTGACCTGCTGAAGTCGACGCTAACCGAATTAAGTGCCACCACTCTCTGCTTTTAGATCCCGGGCACATTCCAGAAACTTTCTAACGTAGGAGGGTGGGGGATACGGGGGGAGTATCACCAGACCTAACAGCTCTGCTCCTAGAACGAGCTCGAAAAACAGACAGCCCTTCGTGCGTCTGCGAGGGGCCTCCCTTCCCCGTGCCACAGTTCAGTCACACGTGTGGAGGCCGGAAGGGGGCCCCACAGACCACTGGACGAGTGACTTCCTGCGGCTCGAGGGCACGGGCAGGTGTTCCTCTGACCTCGGGGCCCAGGCTCCGGCCGAGACGGCCACGGCGGGAGTTCCAGGGGACCAGAGAGGCAGGGACTGGGTCCTGGTCGGTGCCCCGGCAGTTCCCAGGTGGGTGCTGACCAAGCACGTCTCCTCACGGCCCCGACCCCGCACGGGTATAGTGACGTGCGGTCAGATGTCCTTCCAGATGTACCTGAGACCTGACAAGATTCTTAGGGTTTGTCACGCTGCCTCGTCCCGGGTGTGGTAGGCCAGGCCCCCCGAGTGCCCCCTGTTTGAACAACCTCCGGGGTCTCTCTCCAGGCTTTGTTGAGCTGGCGAGGAGGGAGGAGGCCTGGGGGCACCTGGGGTAGAGGCCACGGCCTTGTGGACACGGCCACCTAGAGCTGGCGTCTGCTTCTTGAGTTTCTCCTGAGTGCAGAGCTCACAGGGCCTCGTGGCCAGTGCCCTGGTGGGGAGCAGCAGAGATGCCCGCCTGGCCACCCCCCAGACACGGCGAGACTTTGGAAGGACGTCAGCCCTCACGTGGCCACATAGAACAGTGGGGTCCTGGGCTGGTGGCTCCTGGCAGGGCGGGCACAGGCGTCCCCCGGAAAGCGGCCGCCGCCCGGCAGCCTGATCGTCTGGGGCCTCTGTCGCCCCTGGACAGGAGAAGGGGGTGATCTCGTGCCACGTGGGAGGAACTTCAGAGAGCCGTCCGTGGGTGCTGGTCGTTGTTCACCAGGGCCTGGGGAGGGGCGGCTGTGCACACGGGACGGGTTCACCCTGCCCTCGGCAAGGTCCATGACGTGTGGGAGGAGGACGGCCCGGAGGCGTCCCTGCCCCAGCCTGGCACCTGTGAACATGCCTGAGAAGGCACTCACTGCAGGTGGTGTCCTGGGCCATCCAGGGCGGCCTGCGGGGCCCCCTGAGCCCTTAGGGGCAGAGAGCTCGCTCTGGCTAGAGACAGGAGCTGTGACAAAGGAGGGGACACCTGATGTCCTACCAGTGCTGGCTTCACAGGCGCAGGGGCTGCTTGGCTGGTCCATTAAGTTATTAAGTGATCGATTACAGGTCGATTTCCTTTAATTAGGAAGTAACACAGTGGTGTCCCAAGATGAGCGTGTGGGACAAGAGAGGTGAAAGGGTTTTCCTAAAGAAATCGGCAGCTCTGGAACGTCAGAGCCCAGCTCCGGGTCTGAAACCCTTGTGATCTGAGTGCAGTCCCCGCACCTGCTCTGGCACAGACCGACCCAGTGCTCTTAAGGCCGGTCCCCATGCTGCCCAGGGCACCCTCCCCCCGCTGCCCCATCGTCCACCCCTCCCCCGATCCCGGGGTCGTCCCCCTCCCCCCTGCCTGGGTCACGTGCCACGTTGCCCCCCTCCCCCACTGCCCCAGACACACAGCCCCTCCTCCTTTAGCTCCTCTGTATTTTTGAAACCATGTGCGTGACCAGGGTTCCCCGTGTGGGGTTTGGAGCTGCTGTACCATGTGGGGAGGGCATGAGCCCCCGTAAAGTCTGCGGAGAGAACGGGCAGTGGTCGGGGACGGTGGCTGTAAGGCTTGATGTCTGCCAGGTGAATTCTGTCTCTCCTGTATGATAAGTGGTCTCAGGCATGCTGCGTGTGCGTGCGTGCCCGCGTGCGGGTGGGTGTGTGCACACGGTGGGGTGTGAGCTCACGCGCAGCCGTGTACGGGCGATTGCCCGCGTGGGCTGCAGCGGGCACAGACACGCACACGTGGGGGTGTGAACAGAAGGTTGTGTGCGTGCAGGTGGGCGTTACTTAGGTAAGAGCACACGTGTGTGCACGTGTGTAGGTATGGGAGTGTGTGTGCAGAATGTAGGTTACTGTGCATGCACGTAGCATCCACAATGCGTGGATGTGTGTGCACGTGTGTGCATGGGGGGTAGTGTATGTACACGGAGTGTGGATCTGGGGTTCGTACACACGCGTGCTCGTATGTGTGCACGTATGGGTTTAGGGATGTGTGTCTGGGTGTGTGCGTGTGTCTTGTATAGGTGGGTGTTGGGTGTGAGCTGGGTGTGCACATGTGCACGGGTGCGTGTACCCAGGGGCCTGTAGGTGGCGTGTGCACATCCGAGGGGGCGGGTGTGCATGAGGCAGGTGTGTGTTCTTGTACATCGTGTGCGCATGAGTGTACATGAGCGTGTGTTCACATGCAAGATGCATATGCACAGAGTGTGCATTGCCCGGGCGGGGAGCGTGGGGGTGTGAGCGTGGGGGGCTGTCTCCTGGGTGCGGGTGTGCGTGTCTGGACTGTGAACAGCCACCAGCATGGAGCAGTCTCGCGGCTGGAAGCGGTTGGGGGCTTCTGACCCGGAGTGGTTTCCTCGCACACGGTCCTTTGTCCCCTCTTGGAGCAGAGGGTGAGAAGGCCCCAGAGTGCTGCCTGCAGGAAGGAGCTCGGTGACACGGCTGTCCTGTCCCCGCCTGGGGAGAGGCAGCGCTGCTGACTGAGTCCTGAACGCAGAAGCACCTGTTCCGGGGCCAGAGCCTTCCGGAAGATTGGCAGGCCTGAAGCGTCCCGCCCTCTCGTCCAGCTCCTTCTTGTCCCACACTCCCGGCACCGCCCGACCAGGGACACGACATCACCCTGTGGGGAAGGAGGCAGGAACTCCGTCCCCAGCA